GAATCCAATCAATCAGAATTTGGTTTATAGTTATTGGATTTTTTGCACACCCCTACATGGGCAGACCTCCATTCAATCAAAATTTATGATTCAAGTAAAATAACGATGATCACAATTGGGGAGCCAAGAGCCTAAGATATCATGCCTTTCTTTTTCATCAATAGAAAATTAAAGTGTCACAACTATCCTCCTGATAGATAGTGGATATTTGACCCCTTCATCCAATTATTCAATCTAATAAAACTTCATAGGCTAATACTTTCTTTGTCATTCACTTCTAATTAAATAAGTTAAATACAAATAAATTCATGATTTCCACACAAAGCATGAACATAAATCTTCTTTTTAGTCATTACAGTAGTAAAATAGTGTCTCACTAATCAACACACATTTCATTTTTGTTAGTTAACAAAACTCTTGGTTCCAAATAACTTATGGCCATTAATTACAAGTAACTTAATCTAATTAACCATTTACGTAGCCTCAGTTTAAAGTCATTCTAAATTATCAAACATCTTATCATATGTTAAACATTTCCAGAAAGTTTTGATCCCAAAAATGGTAATTCACCGGCTAAAGTATTTGATAAATATGATCCGGAACTGATATGTGCAACCATGATAGATCCGAGAGAAACTACAATCCCAAAATGCTAACACAACAACACCAAATCAGCCGAGACGAACAAATGACAGGAAAAAATTAGCTTTGCTGATAAAAAAGACAAACAATTTGAAGCCTAATACCGAGGTCTAATACAACAAACAACCCCTAACTACTACAACAAACAATTTTCCTCTACATTTACTGGTCAAAAAGAAGTCTTGAAATTTCTACATAATGAAATGGCAAATTCTCGGATATCTATTGAGAGTTTTACTCTTCTTCCAACACTTGTGTCAACTTCTCTAGTCACAAGCAAATGTTATGGAGATATATGAAGTCTTTATTTCTCCAACAAGTAAATCAAATGAAGAGATTATAAATAATATGCTACTTTACATTCAGAAAATTCACATCAAGTTCAAGCAAAATTCAAAAACAAAATTTACACCAAGTTCAAGCAAAATTCAGAACCAAGCATGAATGAATCGTGAAAAAAATCAATTGAATTGGAAAAAAAAGTTTCAAATGAAACTAAAAAGCGTCAAAGTAGAAATTTACTTAACTCAAACACATAATAGATCTTGATGATGTTGCCGAAGGACGATTTTGTTGAATTTAAAGAACGATTCCATCGATTTTATAGCTATTTTAGTAAATCCATAATTGTTGTTTAGACGATTTTGTTGAACATGAAGAAAGATTTCGTGGATTTCATTGGATTTGGGATTAGGTTTTTGGATTTCAGTTGATTTCATTGTGCGGCTGGGATAAGGGAGAAAGAGACAGAGTTTTGAATCTGGTACACGATAAGCTGAACTGGTTTAGTATATGGGTACCATTTTTTTTAAATTTTATTAAAAGGGCCGCCGGATTTAAAATATAGTATTGGGTTGGGTTTTAAAAAGTGGAATAATTTGGATACCAATTTGGTTATGTATAACTGGTTTTTTTGCACACCCCTAACTGTTTATAGCTTTATACGCTGCTCCTCATTTATTTGTTCTAGTACAGGAAGGAGTATCCATTTCAAATAATGAAAATGAAAAATCCGATTAATACCATTTGTGCCAGCCAAATAGTCTTGAAACAAAAGGGGCTAAAATTGAAGTGTCAATAATTGCACTAAAGAAAAAACTATACTAACAGAAAAGTATTTATCTTTTGATATAAGACCTTACTTTGATTGTCTTAACAAAGACCTTCCCGACAATATTAACATGTAAAAGTTCCTCGACAAACTTGACACGCCATCTTAACCTCCTTTGGAGTCTCGAAACACCTAAATTGTTGGAAATGTTGTATGATATTGTTTGGGAAACATGGCCATAAAACTTTATAGATTTTAAAGCATGAGAGTTTGATAACAGCTCGCCTTGATACATTATTATGTGCTTCTTTGAATCACCTTGGTACTGGTAAATGATGTTGTAGAGACACTTCCTAGATATACATCAAGTTACATCTCAAACATAGAAGACAAACACCAATTCTGCATCTTTCTGAAGCAACCAACTATGCAACATGTTCTATGCTGCATTAGATAAAGATAAATCATCATTAGAATAAATAATTAAGAATTCAAAACAATAGAGAAATTGATAATTTAAAATATAAACTTGTAAAATTGTAAGTCAATCTTATACCTTTCCTTGTTTGCGATGAATCAAAATAGGGTGAATTCTTAAGGATGAAAAATCGATTAACGTATAGCCCATTTGGTACCAAAATACACCAACTTATGCACCAAGTAATCTGAAGTTCAGAAATGGTTCATACAATTCAACAAACACTTTATGGGAAGACTAACAAAACAATTAATTTTATATAATTTTCTCCAAAATAGAGGCTGTGATACGGTGGCAGAACCGACTGTTTTGAAATGCTGATTTGTGTTTTGCGTTTTTTATTCGTAAAATGTCGCGGTAAGCAAGAGTCGCCACCGACTTTTATTTTATCCAACCGGAAAGGAAAAAAGCACAGAAAAATCCTTTTTTGAGATATTCTGAGTACGGGGGGTAGATTATAGAAAGGGAAGGTGTTAGAACCCTTTCTATCCATGGTTTTCCATGGGCTCTTAGGTACTTGCTCATCTTTTACAATTGCTTGTGTGTGTGCTTTGAAAAGTTTTGTTTTACTTCATTTTAACCCTTGTTTCTGCCCTTAAGAGTGTTACAAAGTTGTTTTTGAAAACTTTAGTTTTGAAAAGTGTTTGGTGTGAAAAGTTTTGATTTGAGCAAGTACCTACTAGCATCTACCTACTCAAAAAAAGATCGTTTTTGTTCTTGTTTCCTTTAGACAGCGTTATCCTACTATTGAGAAATAGGTAGCACCGTCGTTGGAATTCGTAAGGGTCAATTTGAAAGGGACATACGATCACTAAAGCAATGTTAGGATGTCTTAGTAATAACCTTAGAGTCTTAGGATCATATTCGAGGTAACATTTCTGAGGCGACGTTTCCGAGGCAACATTTCTGAATGGGACTTTTGATCTTTGTTAGACAGGAGGGCAACCACTAAGACACCCTATACTTAATGATCGTTTACCGAAGGCAATCGAAGTGAGAGTATACCCTAAGAGTGCACATGTGCGAGTGATTGGATTTTACTTATTATCTTTGCACATTAGGGTTTTCTAGCCGTTTTAAATTATCATGTAATCTTGTCATACAATCCTATTAACATACATCTAAACAATTAATATTTGCGGAAATTAAAATGCGAGAAAATAAAACTACACTATTACAAGGCTTCAGGGTAGGGATTAATTACATAGCCAAAAACCCGCAAAAGACGATAAAAGAAAATCCTAGGTTAAACTATTACATACCGTGGACAGTTACATTAATATTGCAAAAATAAAAAAAAACGTGCGCGATGAATCGAAAATAAAAGAATTAGGGTTTTTGACCCCAACTAAGCCTAATTGCAATTTAAAAGAACAATCATTTTTTGTCATTTTTGTTTATTTGAGAAAATAAAGCTCAATTGAATAATTAAAAAAAACCTAATTACAAATTAATTTTTATTTAAGAAAAATAATTAAATTAACCTATTTTTTGTATTTTTATTTTTGAGAATGAAATAAAAATTAAATCAAGAGTTGAACCCTAATTTTTATAATTGATTTTAATTAAAAGAAAAGTTAGAATTTCCCTAAATTAAAAAAAAAAACTAAATTGTATTAACAAAATTAATTTTTAATAAAATTAAATTCTAATTCTAATTTTTTGTGAAACTCTTGATTTTATGATTTTGTAAAAAAAAAATTAATTGTGTTAGAAAATAATTAAACAAATTAAATTAAATAAAAGAATAAAATAGAAAAGAAAAAGAATGGGCCTGGTTGCTTAGCAAAAAAGGGGGTGTTGTTTGCAAATCTAAGCCCAATAAGCTCCTGGCCCTTTTGACTTTTCCAATCCCATGATACGCTTGACTGGGGCTCATGGGGTCCTTCATGGAGGAGGCCTTAGATCTGAAGCCTTGAGTACATCAGGTGGCTGGTGTTGAGTGTACACGGAACACACTAAGGGTGGGAAGCACTCGACTGATTTGAAATTATTGAGAAAATAATAAAATACACACGCCTGGGATCGAACCCAAGACGTGTGCATCAAAGGCCAACAACCTTACCATCTGCGCTAATGTGTTAGCTGTAACAATAATGAAATAAATAGAATATAATACAAACAACGTGCCACGCTTCTCAAAATGCGTGCAGATTAAAACAAGCCACTCACATACGGCCACGCCATTGTCTTCTCTGTTGCTTCCGTCGTTTTAGATAAAAGACTTTTACCTACGGACATCAAGCGTAGGTATAGCCCTTGTGCATTTCCAAAATCTTACACACGCATGATAAATGAAAACCAATGGTACCAATCAACTCGTTACAACCTCATGAGCATCATGGTACCATTATCATTGGCCAATTTTCCATGTATAAGAAACCCCTAAAAACAAAGAAAGAACCCTAGCCATGGCAGTTTCGTGTTCAGTCAGCAAAAATGCAATTAAATATAACCATTAGCTTGCAAACATCTCAAGGATAAAAAATATGCCAATCAATCATGCTAAATATGCCAGAATTAATGTATTCAATTTCAAGAAAATATGCAAACCGTGTGACTCTTACAAGGTGTTTTAAGGCGTGGGGAAGCTTGCTAGCGATTGATACACGATCCTGGGATGTCCAGCAAACGATTGGTATGATTAGAATGGCTTGAGATGGCCTGAAACTTGGAAATTAGTTTGCACTTTTTTCTTGAATTTTTGCAATTTGTTCTTTGCCTTTGCACGCCTCTAGCCTCTTGTTTTTGGTATGCTTTTGTTCCTTATGTATACTAGAATGTATTAGGGTTGCAATTTTGTATCAAATCTCTTTCAATTATGAATATTGATTCATGATTTGATCCTTGTACCAAATCTTTCCAAAACAAGCAAATCCAATCTTTTTCTGTCCAATCAATTTGAACCTTACACGATTTGATCTTGTTTCCAGCTATGTAATGGACCTAATCATGCACAAAATCTCAAGATTTAATTAGTTTTTGATATTTTCACTATTTTATATTGATTTTATTTGATTTAAATGAAATAAAATAAAAAATAAATAAAAAAAATAAAATAATGACAAGTGGAAGGGCTCATGGGTCGTGGGTCACATTACAAACTCAACGCAAGCATAAAAAGTTTGGCCCATTTAGCAAAAAATGCAATTTTGGACACATTTGACTTTTGGCAATTTTGCAAAAAGGGTCGCCTTGGGCAATGCATAACTCTCTCAATTTTGACCCTAGAGAGGTGTTATTAGACATTTTAGAAAGCTTAAGATGTCCTTTAAGCAACCCTTTTGGTCTCATCTCAATTGAGTCTTCCATGTTCATGTATAAAGCTTTGACCCAAAAGGTGTTTTTGTTGACTTTTCAAAATGACCTATAATGTCCAAATTCATATCTTCTTGTGAGTGCATATTTTGAACTTGGGAGATGAAGATGGATTGTAGGGAATTACATCCTATTTAAAATGATATTCGGATGGGTCATTTTTTATAAAGTATGAGAAAGTTATGCTTGGTCAAAGTTGAGTTGACTTTTCCTGCAAAACCCTAATTTAGCAACTTTTGGGTTTTGATGAATTATGAGCAATCCTTGAGGAATAATGATAAACCCTTGATTAAATGATGAATAATACTTCAAAATGAGGATGTTGACCAAAAATATTGAGGTTTGACTATATGTGGGTCACAGTTGACTTTTGACCTATTACACTTGATTTTCAGGCATTTGAGCAATTGACTGAGCAAACTTATTCTGCAAGGCTTGAAACTTGACATGGATGATCTTGAGAATATATTAGGAAAATGGTGATAATTTGAGTCCTTTGTGGTTCACACATCTTGATGAAAATAGAAACCCTAATTTGAGGTAGACTGCCTTAGGAGAGAGTTTGTCTGGTCAACCCTTGGACTTCCTTGAGCAATTTGAACACCTTACTTGTCATGTATTGAGAAAACATGGGAGGGCAAATTTTGGGGTACAACAGAGGCCAATACCATCTGTTAAATATCAGATGGTACAATAGCAAATTGAATCATAGGAAAAAGGAAAACAAACCGACCAAAAGTGATTAGAAGAATTTACGTGATATCTGTGATGAAGTAAATTCACATAGAAAGTGGTAAGTGAAGCAACTCAAAAGGTTAACTATTTGGTTGAGTTTTGCACTTGTAACATGAATCAAAGTTGTAAAACCATAATGATTGATGTACCATACTAAAACAGATGGAGTAGTGTTCTTTAATAAAATAGTAAGAAGAGAAACAGGTTATTCATAACGTATATAGTACTCTAGAAAAAGAATAAAAACAAATGCTCCAAGAATAAATTATATATACTGAGTATATGGGGAATATAATAGTACTCACCCTGGTGAGTTGAGATGAAACAAACATATTAACATTAATATACTTAGTAGTAGAAGCATTATGAGTGTCTTGGTCAGCAAACCGAGTACCTGATAAATTCATAACAAACTTGTGTTAGTTTCATCTGTGTATACAAACTTTCAGTAGCCATATCAATGTGTGATGCAAAAAATAACAATTACATACTTCTATCAAATTCAACCTATAAAAAAATATACCAATACACTTTTAAAGTTTTGAGGTTAGGGGATGCATTAGGGCTCTGGTTTGCTATACTGCTCCATCACCACCACCATTCTTTAGTAAGTAAAAAACTCGGTAGGAGTTCTTGCAAAAACCATACCTACACACCATAGTTTACGTATAAATCATTCAACTCGCTCTTTAACTCGTTGTTGGTATTTTCAAAACCAAACAAAGCACGCGTCAACAATGAGGCACTGTCATTTCAAATTTTAAAAAAAATAAAATAAAAACAAAGAACTAACAATATTATAATAAATAATACCAATACCTAATATGTGTACCTGAGCAGAAGCTTGGAACATCATGTATGTTCTGGGTGGTTAGTGACACATATTCACATATCCTCAGGCAACAGAACCTAAAAAAATACATAGCAAAATGAAATTTTAAAGAATAAGTTAGTGTAAACATTAACAACCATAAATCTGAAACGGAAAAATTAACAAAGTGATTGGTTTGGAACTTTCATCGAACATTTTGCAAAAAACTTGTTTAAACCCAAAAAATTTGTATACCAAACAAAAATATTAAAATAAACCATTAAGATTGAATTTGTGACAGCATTCAGATTTAATTTGTAACAATTCTAAAAGCTAATCAACAGTGAAATATAACTAAAAAGTACAATCTACCATAGATACAACAACTTACCATCACCAACAACATATTGTAGGTTGCACTTCCTAAAACAGGGACCTTTCCAATAATATTCTTCATGGTTTCAACAGTATAAGGAACTACAGATGGATCTTCAGGGCTGTTGCCAAAAAGCATATTATCTAGATTAAAAGAGTAAGTGTTAAAAATCAATACTTTTGTTTTAAAATACAATAATTTGTGTATCAAATCAGTACCTCAAAATCTTAATTGCCAACACAACATGCTTCAAATCCAATGGTATGTTTCTTCAACAAAATAATCTTTGACACAATCTGTAAAGACCATGGGAAAATTACCTGAAAAAGGCGAGAAAGAGGGATAACATGTTACCTGAGAGAAGAAGTCATCGAAGAAGAAAAAGTGCCTTGAACCACCGTTAGAAACCGTGACCATCGCTGCACCACTCCACAATCCCGACGGTGTCCCTGATACCCATTCGTGCAACATCTTGCAATTCACGACCGAGAGTTCCTCTGTTCACATCAGCTGACGTCGCACCACACAGTTGACGCGATCCACCACATTTTTGCAACTTCTGTTCTAGTTTGGTAATGTTTGATCTAATCTTGTTTTTTGTTGCCTGATTTGAAATGATGATGATTAGTATGTTTAATTTTGGTTGATGCTTAGAGATAAGAAATGATTTAGTAGAGAGAGAAGAAAGAGAGTGAGGAAGATAACGCAGAAAGAGAGATGAAACATTTGATTGACAAAGAGGAAAAATATGTGGAATGGAAAAAATGAAAGAGTAAGAAGAGCAGAAGAAAGAGAAGAGAGAGAGAGAGAGAGAGAGAGAGGACGAGAGACAGGTCTACTTTTATGAAAATTGTTGTAATTTGAATTAAAGTAACATTGAAAGAAGAGAACATTTGAAAAGAAATTAAATTTTGACCAAATGACATCATCAACTCATTCTAACATAATCATCAAAAGCAAAAAACACCAATCATGTTATTGAAATAGAACTATATGTCATCATTAGTTGGAAAAAGTATTTTTTTGAACAAAAATTACCTTCATTATAGTGAGGTGGAGAAGAATAGAGAAGGGGAAAATGGGAATTTTACAAATTATAGAAGATTTTTATATAGTAGATTAGTCTTAGATTAATGAACATCATCACTAAAGATTATTTAGATATTTTATGAATTTTGATTTAATTGCTTTATATATTAAGCCACCCAATAAATGTTATAGTTTTTTAATTTAAAATATTTTATATATGCTTGATGTATAAATATTTATCCTTTTAAGTAGATAATATTTTAAATAAAAATAATTATATATAATTATTTATTAGTCCTTTTATTTATATAAATTTTATTTATGATATTTAAAAAAATTGAATATCACAAAAGACGGGGAAAAACAATTTTTATTAACCATTGAAATTGTTTCAAAGAATATTAAATTTTAATTTTAGCAACATTTTTAACAAAAGAATATAAAGTTTATATAAAAAGAAATTTTGACGGTTTGAACTGTTGAAAAAAACCATCCAAATAAAATATTGAAGTAACCGACAGAAAATCATCAAGAGGAAATCAATGAAGTCGTCATCGAGTATTTATTTATCCCATAGAAGGGAAAGTAAAATCATCGAAGAAAAACCTGAAGGGAGAAATCACAGTCTTACGATCGAGAGATCGGGTAAGGGAGTCGATTACACAAGGGGGAAGTATTAGCACCCCTCGCGTTTGTGGTACTCCACGGGATCCACTCTTATTGTTCTAATCTAAAGCTTACGAGCAAAGGAAAAAATGCAAAGATGGAATGCATGCAAAAGAAAACACGGGGAAAAGAAGAAATATTTACAAAGTTTCGCTCGCCTGGACCCCACGACCAAATGCCTATGTATCCCTTTTAAGGAATCAAAGCGATGTAGTTCGGCTCAAAAGTTTTCGTTTGTTGGTTGATTTTAAATGAAGATGCAAGTCATCATTTTTAAAGGAGAAGACTCGTCTAAACACCCACAAGTTATGATAAAGAAAAAAGGACTATGCACCAACATGAGGGAGGGTTTTAAAACACCTCTAATTCTCAAGTGGAGAAGTCAACAACCATGGGGATAGAGGAAGAACATCTCAATTATAAATGAATCATGTCTTATCTTGAAAAAAAGTTTTTAAAGGGTAAAAGGTGCTCGAGCGTACAAAAAGGCTTGAATGAAGTTGAATATTTTTAGTCTTGAAAAAGGGTTTAAGAAATATTAGATGTTTTATGAATTTGCCAAGAAAAAGAGTTTTAGTTTTAATCATGCAAAATGGGAAGAAAAACATCTAAGGGAAACTATCTAATTTTTATCCCTTATGTTATCATACAATGATGGTTCTAAGGTTGAGTTTGAAATGGAAATCTTTACCTATGTTAGCATGCATGGATTACGATCCTAATATCTAACTTGCATCGAAAACGAAACAAGTGAATCCTAAGGAAGCATACAAAGGTTACTACCTAATGAGAAACATAAGCATAAGTGCAATCAAACAAAACGATCCGAAGCCAAAACAAACATCAGGTGCGAGCTAAAAGAAAACAATAGAGTCCAATGGATCTCAAAGTGGGAGTAAGGAACTCTTTCCACTTGATTTTCTCGAGCACCGGCATTGAGTAACAACTCGGAACATCAACATTGAGCGACACGAGCTAACATTGTCGAAACGAATGACAAAACAGAGGGGTTAATTACGAACCCTCCTTCACTTTATTTGACTCAATGGACTAGAATAGGCACGATTCAAAGTGTTAACGCATGGCGCGATCTAGGAACGACACAGACTAGAATGCGTGGGGGCCGATTGCGAGCCCTCCTCTACTTTATTGACTCGATAGCAAGCACAATGTAAAAGGGAAGGGGAATTTTCTACTTCTGAGGACTTTAGCAAAAATGCCTCCTTTTGAGATATTTAAACAAACAACAAGAAATCGTCCCTTTTGAAGTCTTTTGCAAGCAAAAACATCGCCTCATTTTGAGGTCTTTAACAGAATAAACATCGCCTAACTTGAGGATTTTAAACATATTGTCCACCTAAAGTAGAGACTCCCAGTCATGCATCTCTATTCCTACTTCTCATGGAAAGGAAAGCGGTAAATGATGCAGAAACATAAACCAGAAACATTATAATACCAAACGAACAAGAGTTTGTAGCAAGCAAGTAGAAGCAGAACAAATCCAGAAAACTTCGAGCAAGCTAGCATCAACAACAAAATAGTCAGAAATCGAGCGCTTGGCATAGGTTCCAAAGTATTGATGATGTGAAACTAAATCACAATTAAAAGGTGCAACAAGCAAGCTCAAGGTGTCAGATAAGAATCCCTGTCAGATAAAATACACAGACATAACAGACAAACAAGATAGCAAAGAAATAATTTGAACATCTTCGTATGAATTAGAAACATGTATCAAAGCTAAAATGAAACAAATGAAATATAGAAACGAATGCTTAATTAATTAACCTAAAATTTGATTAAGTTAATTAATTAAGTTAAGAAAATCTAATTAGCCGAAACTAATTAATTTTTAGTAACCAAAATTAAATAACTAAATTGACTCTTAGTTAATTAACTAAGGCAACAAAGTAACATGAAATGAAGTGAAAGGTTAGTCAATTAATCAAGAGTTGATTAACTTAATTAATCGAGTTAAGAAAAATGTATTAGTAAACTAATCCATTTTTAACAACAATTAAATAAATAAATCAACGCTAGTTTAATCAATTAAACGTGGATAAAAGGTGGGAAGCGGGAGCGGCTTCTTGATCTGTCATAAGAAGCTTGCACAAACTAACAAACAAGATAATATTTACAAGGTATAAAATCGAAATGAAACTTGTACAATGCACATGAGCAGTTCAAAAACCAAGCAAATAGTTATTCAAACATTTCAATTCACAGACGAAACTAAAACCAAAGAAACTCATGCTATTGGCAAATTCAACTTCAACACATGAAGAAACAAATTCAACACAAGATTGAATCCCCTAAACATAATCCAGGAAGTAACTTAATAACCAAAATAATGCTCAACAATATTCGTTTCAGTCATGCTCAACACAAAAGGAACACACAACTATACTACAACCAAATGTAACCTCATTCGAATTAAATTCAAATTCACCCAACACGCCTTCACCGTCTCCTTCAAATTAGATCAATCAAACATGATACAACATTGAATTCAATCTTGAAATTTAATA